CCCCTCCCCCTGCCATTTTACCTCCTTCAGCAAATGTGCTGATTACTTCATCCGATTTTGTGTTCTTTTTATTCTATCGTCTTCCTTGCTTTTTCCAGTTGCCCCCTTTGGGTTGTCCTTTGTCTTTGTGTGTACTCCAACGATGTCTTTTATTTTCACCTGTCAGCCATGCCACTTACTTGCCCCTGTCCGTCTCCTTGGATCATGTTTTGGATTAGATCTCATAATGTGTAACATGCAAATGGACCAGGATAGTGGAATACTATGATTATGGATGCACTGATCCTCATGTGTTGGAGCGAAAGACAGTTGGAGCTGTCATACCTCATGTCCCTGAAATTGCAGTTCAGAGAGTGGTTGTTCCTTTATGCGGGTTTCGTCTTATTTCTCATTACCGAACTCTATTGAAGGTGAAGTGTTTCCTGAATGTATGAGGCGGAAACTAAGTTGACATGGATGATGGAACTAATTATGGATTGAATGCGGTCCTGCAGATTGGAAAAACCAAGGTGTTTTTGCGAGCAGGCCAGATGGCTATTCTGGATACAAAACGTACCGAGATTCTCAATGAGGCAGCCAAGAAGATGACAAGGAGAGTGCGCACGTTCCTTGCCCGCAACGAGTACCTCCGTGTCAAACAGGCATCTGTCTGCGTGCAGACGAGGTGGAGAGGTGAGAGACTGACCTGCTTATGACGTGTGCTAATTTATTGTGCTTTACTGTTTGAAGATAAAATATAAAGGAGGCCACCTGCACCTCAAATTTGGCTCAAAACTCATTCAAGGGCTCGAAGCCGGTTTCATGTTGACAACAGTTTTATTAGTTCGTATAAAGGAGAGGCATGGAGATCCTAGCCCGACACTAATGTGAGCTCCATGCACACACATACGGCAGGTTCTCTTCCCCATGCTGTAGATCGCAGGTTGAATAGCTCGGCAATGGCATAGTGATGGCTAGGCCATGAATCTGCACATGTGCTCCTTCATTTCTTTTTGCCAGGGGTGCACTTCCCGAGTTCTTTTCTGGGGGATGTATTTGCTGTGGAGATTTGTGGATTCTATGCGCTCATGCAGATGATGAGTCCCACAGGGCTGCTGTAACTTAGTCATATGATATTATGTGATGTCACTGATGTTCAACCCAACAGTTAGGCATGTAATTTCTGTATGGAATCTATGATAGTCGTTTCAGAAGGTGGAACGAGGAAAGAGAAGGGAAGAGCAGCTGACAGATGTGCTGCCTTGTGCTGGCTCTTTGTTCTTTGTTCGTTGGTTAACCAGGTGTGCTTGCCTTCAAGCTGTTCGTCTTCCTCAAGGAGACGAGAGCTGCAACAGAGATGCAGAGGTATGTCCGTGGTATGCAGAACTTCAAGGCATACAGGGAAATGAAAGCTGCGTCCATTCGCATCCAGGCTGCTGTGCGCTCGCTTTGTGCAAAGAATCTCTACAAACAGCTGCAAGAACACAAAGCTGCCTCCATCATTCAGGTAGCCACACCATCATACATACTTCGAGATTGAGCTGAGTCCAAGTTCTGTGCCAAAGGAACAGAAACCTAGTCAATGCTTTGTGTGTGTGTGTGTGTGTGTGTGTGTGTGTGTGTGTGTGTGTGTGTGTGTGTGTGTGTGTGTGTGTGTGTGTGTGTGTGTGTGTG